GAGAAAGAGAGAGAGAACAATCTCTGTCCCATCCCTTTTCATGACACTGTTTCAGGGACAAATGGGAGAATCTCATGTGAATGCTGCTCATAAACTGTAAAGTATTAAATAAATAGAAAGTATTATTTTGTAGTAGATTTCTAATCTTTCTGTTCAAGAAAAATTTCTTATTAGTAGTTTACACAGACTAGGTGGTTCAAGAAAAATGTCTGATTAGTAGTGTACACAAACTAGGTGGAGCCTACTTACCTGTATAAGGTGGGGTGTGTGCATGTGTGGGTGTGTATGAGAGTATATGGGAGTCTCAGCAAAACCCTATCTGAAGACATAGAATCCCAGAGTTACAGGGTTATAAGGGACCTTGGGGCCAACAGTTGCAGCTCTATACAGTACACATATGTTGAAATATTCTTGCCGAGTGGTCTTCTAATTCCCAATTAAAAATTCAAACAATGGACACAAACAGTTTTATGATTCAGTCTTCCCCTATTTATAGAGCTCTAAGTGTTGAAAAACTCTCTATTCTAATAAGCTGAAATCTGCGTTCCTTGTGACTTCTTCCCACTGGTCTTGGCTCTGTCATCTGCTGCTTCATACAATGGAGGGCAGCTGAGGATAGCCACCATTCCCTAAATGTTCTCTTCTCTACCCTAAACAACTCAAGTCATTCTTTAACATCTTCATCGCATGCAAGACTGCTCGTCTATGAACTAGTTTGCTGTTCTTCCTAAGGGTAGAACCAGGGTGGGGAGCACAATAGGATGTAAGCTGAATAGTACATTCAAGAGCTGGATCAATGCCCTTCCATGTCTGTGGACAATATTTGTGTGAATGGCCCCTACAGTAGTCATATTAACATGTTTTGGGTGTTTCCCTCTCCCCCGACCCCCAACACCAACTTTCCTCATATTCCCGTTGAAATCAACTGAAATCTCCCAGGCCTTTTTTTTTCCTTTTCCTTCAGGTTTCGATGTTTCGCCATTCCTTCCTGATTCTGCACACGATTACTAGTTTTCTGGGCATAGGAGAAGGACTTCATGTAGATTCTTATTAAACTGGGTCCATTGTACCATGCAACTGAGATTTTTTATAAATGTATTTACCATCTCTGCTGGCTCCACATTGGCTGTTGCCTTTATAAAGAGCCCTTACTCCTTTATCAAAATTGTTGATGAAATATTTGGGCATAAAAGAGTAAAAAGGAGATCATTAGAAAGCTACAAATTCTATCTTTAACATTTTGACCTCCTGTTCATGTTTAATTTTAATTGAGAATTCAGCTCTAAGTTTTTACTGAGGGTTGACTTAAGAAATAGCCACACATAAAAGGCCTCTGTATTTTCTATAAAATTGTGTTAGATGATTCAATGTCTCATTTGTAAAAATCCCATGGGAGATTTCTCTTGGAGCTCAGGGATCGAAAAAAAAAAATCTCTCCCCATGATAGCTGAACTGGTATGAATTTCCTTCTGTTTTGACGTCTAAGACACTATGTCTTTTCAGATCTTTAAAGATCCATAAAAATAATTTCTTTGCTTTTTTAAGTAGGGCATTAGAAAACTTTCCCTAGAATACTGAAGTAGTTAAAGTTTACTTCAGCCTTCCAAATCACTTTCTTCCAAAATTTCTTCTCACTTCAGAATGGCATGTTCTCAAAATCTTTCATATTAATTACCCCAAATAGTACTTTAAGTGTAAATAGAAATAACTTGATCATTTGCTAATCTTTTTTTTTTAATTTTATTGGGGAACAGTGTGCTTTTCCAGAACCCATCAGCTCCAAATCAAGCAGTTGTCTTCAATCTAGTTGTGGAGGGCACAGATCCTTGGACCATGTGGGAATCGAACCGGCAACCTTATGTTATGAGCCTGCGCTCTAACCACCTGAGCTAACCAGGCACCCTGATCATTTGCTAATCTTTTCTCTCTTTTGGCTTTTCCATTATAGAGTAACTTGTTTTCATTAAATACTTCTGACTGGAATTATTTATACTAAAAAGACTTCTCGATTGGGTGTTAGAGGCCCAGAGTCCTTGCCTTAAATCTCACTACTCTTCATGTGATAATGGGAAACCCATTGAGTCATGCGGTTTCTCATTTACAGAAGGAAAACTACCTCTTGATAAACTTCTGATTAATATTAGGCACTGTTAAAATGTATATCACTTACTATTAAATACTTTAAAAGATGTGATTTATAATATACAGTTTGATTATATGGATGTGCAGTATTTTAAACACCAAATTTAGAAGCTTAAACCAGTCTAAGGTGGTCAGAAACATTATATCAGAAAGGCAACACTCTAGAGGTTGGCCACTATAAAAACAATTGTTATACCTATTTCAATGAACAAATGATGCTTTGTTTATGAGCAAAAATATGACAGAAACAGATTCTTATTAGCGAAAGGAGTGACTCCTTAACAAGCATGATAAATGGAACTTAAGTAATTAATATTCCACTTTATGTAAAATATTAAAGACTTTTGGAGACATTCCCCACATTAACATGAACAGGGTATAAAAATCACAATGACGCTCACAGCCTGTACCATAGAATTACTGGCCTAAGTTTGATCACTAAACTTTCCTATTTCTGAAGGTCGGTTTAAATAGAATTTCTGGTTGTCTGATGCTAAATATCAGGGTAACAACATCCTGGCCTTGGAATGTTGTTTCATCTGCCTCAAGTGAACCTTCTTTCCAAGGGAATGATTGGAACATCTGAATGGTCAGAGAACTAGAATTTTGCCAAACTTTCAGAAGCAGTTGTATGAGTCCATTAATGCCTTTTTGCTAAAAAATGTTTGATAAAGTATGTTTATATGTGTAGCAGAAGTTGCTTTAAGACCTACTTTTAACATAACTAGCATTAGTCATAACATAGAAGGATTTCTAGCCCTCTTCAACCCTCTTCAGTAACCACTCTTACCTATCAAAGATGTGTGTGACCGAATTATCAACAGACATTATGCCTTAGCTTAATCTTCATCAGCACACTTCAGATTAGTTACTACTCCCATTATCCAGGTTAGGAAATTCAAGTTTAGGGGATGTTAATCCATAATCATATAGATACCGAGTGGTAAAGTCTGATATTTTTGAATCCATTGCTCCAATACCCCTCGCCCGCCCCTCCTCACCCCCACTGCCACCCATAGCCTCCCAGATAGTCACACAGTCGTTGCAAGGAAAGGATGAATGATTATGAAATGCCTATAGCTGTCTTCCCTACAAATGTATGGGTTAAACAAAGACTCCCTCACTCCCTTGACAGGTAGTTTAAAGTCAACAACCTATTCAAGTGATTTCATATATATTTATTGTTGCTTTATGTAATTACAATATATTTTTGGTTCCTTTTTGTACTTTTCATGTTTTAAAATCTATACCTTCTTTTGATATACCCAAACATATTCAGAAAAATTGTAAATTCATACAATGAGGCACAGATTATTTTGTGACATAATTACATGACCTAGCTCTAGACTAGAGTCATCTACTAGAAAGTTTGACTCTGAAATTAACAGTTGAAACATGCTTTGAAAAAGTCAAATCATGCAAAGGTCAATAAAGAGCTCATCTCCAAGCTTTGTTACATAGAGAAGAGTGAATGAAATGGTAATTTTAGAATTGGAATGCTGAAGTGATATAAAATATTCATGGATTGATGATTTTGATGTACTTCAGAGATCAGCAGAGTTGAATGAATAGTTTTGGGTTCTCTAAAACTACTAGTCAGACTAAAAAGAAGAAGAAAATGCAGGCTATAAATAGAAGAAGAATTTACTTTCTAGATGCCAATAAAATATTACATTCCAAATGTATTTTATTTCAGGTATTCTAAGCAGAAATCAACATGGCCATAAATACCCAAATCTAGCTTATTTATTAAAATCTTAAGTTTTTAGAGAAAAGATTTTAGGTTAATAGGAAGGTAATCATTGATATGTTCCTATTTATACATCTGAAATATATGCTTTTAGGTTATTTATTTTTTATACAAAGCTATTTCTTTAGCAACTCGTTATTACAAGTAGAAGTAATGATATAGAAAGAATATGAGTTTATGAAAAAAATGTATGTTCCTACTTTTACTTTAAAATGTTATATATTTTAATTTACTTTAATTTCATGCGAAAACAAATATATATATATGTATATATATATACATATATATGTATGTATATATATATATATACATATATATATATTAAACAGTTTTGTGGGGGAGGCTGACATATTTTTATTATACAATAACTCTACACCTGGCTTAAAGAATTATCTGTGCATTAGCCTTTTCCATATGTGTTATTATATATATTAAAATTATCCTTCCTCTTTAATTAAAATGAAAAAAAATAGGGTGAGAAGCTTTATCTTTATTTTTAAAATGTGTGTATTCGCTTATAGTAACTGAATAAAAAGTGCCTTGAAATTATTATGTTCTTCTAACATTAATTCAATTAGAGTATTATATGGGGTAAATTTTACCAGTTGGAATGATTTTCCAACTAGTTCATACTTATCATACCTGAACAAGATGAAATGAGCCATAAAAACTATAAAATTACTGCTTTTAGGTTTAATATTCATAATGCTTAGGAAGCTGTTTGGACACCTAATTAAGATTTGTCCTAGAATTTCAACGTTGACTTCAGTAACAGCAGAGAAAAGAATGTGCTTAGGGTGAAAACCTCGGGTTATTTTATGAACATACCACTCCGTTCACTGATAGCAGCTGGTCTCCTCTTTTGAGGCCTCCGTGTCTTTCAGCCACCCCTCCAGGAATGATGCGAGAGATATAAATGGGGGAATTTTGCTCCTTTCCTCCCATCACGTTAAAACCAAGGCCTTCATCAGTCTTTGGCAGTTCGACTACCCGAGGGTGGGAGTGGCCTTCACTAGCTGCAAAAGCTGCAACTGTTGCCTGAAAGAAAAGATGGTCATTTGGTAATAAAATGAGGAAAAGAAGGCAAATCATATGCTTTGCAGTGGGTGGATCAGGCAACTCCTCATATTTTTATAGCATTCTCCTGTGAAAGAAAGAACACACAAAGGAGGGTTTCTTCATTTAGTCATTTACGATTCTTTTCCTTGGTAAAGCCCAGCGCAGCTATTTCCAGCTTTCTGGACCTTATCCATTATGATAAAAACTCCCGTTCTCATAAAAATCTTTCCCAATTACCTCGGTTAGATGGAATTCCTCCAATTCTTGGGCTTCAAATAGGTTTGGTCTATAAACTACCTACATATCGTACAGATGCTATAATTATTATGTATATATGTTGATTATGAGTAGAGATTGTGGCTCCTACTTATTTGTAACACACAGTCTAACCTGGTGTTTGCACATAAATGTCCATCAATATTTATTCAATACACTGAGGAGTATTTAAAGGTATAGATACTGGTGAGTACATCTATACTATATTTTGCTATTGCCAGACCACTGACTTAGCAAATTTAGTTGCCTTTTCTTTTGAAGATGCCTAAAAGAAAATGGAAGCTACAATAAAATAACAGGTTCAAACAGATTATTATTTTTCACATCAATATTTCATAGTAGCATGAGAGGTTTTCTTATCTGGCACAGGTTTACCCCCCCCTACACTTAACATTAATATCTCAACTACTATAGCAATGGAGGCAAAATGAGCAGTCTACAGTTTTATACCTAGAAGTACAAAATATCATTCAATATGGACATAATTTTATTTCAAAATTCATATATTAATTTTAAAAAATAAGTAAAAAACCCCAAAAAATCAACTTACCATTAGTTCCCACCCCTCATGGAAATAAAATGATATCATTTAAGTAGTTTCTACCAAGACAAGATTCTCTGCCTGCTTCTTTTCCACCTTAATTAAACTTTCTTAACCACAGCTGATTAGATGCCTGCTATAAAATGATTTACTCAACACTGTAAAAATATCAATTCCCAACTGCAGTACATTCTTTTCCACACACAGCGTTATCACATCAATTTAGCATTATGCTACTGTCTGCATTTAGTGAAAGATAGTGAATGATATGGAAACAATGGCTTGTTTTTAGCTACATGCATTTGCTCATGCAAACCTTGTCATCATGCATAGATTTTAATGGCTGACATGGACGCAATGCAGACAGCCCAGAAACAACCAGAAAATATTGTGCTATTGCAACATTATGCTGCTATCCTGCTGTTCTACATGAATAAGAAATGAGAATGGTAAAACACTACATAAAATTCACTTTCCCCTTAATTAAACCATGTAGGGATCATTTTTTCTGTGTGTGTTCCACTTCAGTACAAGCAAAGCATGATGTAATGATAATAATACCCTCGTTTTGTTTGGGTGAAAAAAACCTTACAAATCCACAGTGTTCAGTTATAGGAAGAAAACTAAAAAATCAAGAGAGAAACCAAACAAGGGGTGATGCAACACAAAAGAACTAAATGGAAAATTCTGATTATTTTTTACCAGATCTTATTTCTTATACATTATTGAACAGAGAAAAGCTTTTAAAAAGCAAGTGTGTATGTATAACATTTCTATATTTGTAAAATAAGAACGGCACTGGTGGTTTTAAACTAAAATTTATTATGACATAAAATTATTATTTCCTAATTATCTATTTTCCAGATAATTTCATGTTCCTGTTGCTCTAACATTTCCATTAGCAGGTCTCTGCAACCGCTGGATTTCAGTTTTTAAAACGCAAATATGGTCACCACCACAAAAGGGACAGGCCTTTCCTTTAGGTTAACGTCACATTCTTTCAGCAGCTACCCACTGCTCAGCTGAGTACACGGAAGAATCCTACATCAATGGGTGTCAGGTGAGTTCGCTTAATGTCAAATCTTGAGACTTGTGCAAGTAAATCTTCATGCACTCTATAGGGAATGGGTTCTTTTTGATCAGAGGAATGTGTCAGAAAACCAAGTAGTATTTCATACAAATGAATCAGTAGATTTGCTTGTGCTAAATGGACATTTAGTGAGTTTAATGAAATCATTCTCCTTTCTTAAGCTACAGAAGCAGCAGAAACGTTCAATTTTCCATTAGGATTTTTACCTGAGAAGTAGTACTGGTTCTAGACTCTGGGCTGCCACTGATGTCTAAATTCTCTTACAGTGTACACACGAGAATACCTGAAACACACACGCGCACAATCAATTACTAGATCACTGGGGTTAAGTATATTTTTAAAGTTACTCAAGCCTTACCTTTGCTGTGGCCCTGGCACGGAATTCGGGACAGCCATTAACAGTTATCGTTTCATGCATATATTGATATACCTAAAATGTTCACATAAAAAAAAGACAATGTGTAAGGGCATTAAGAATATTAATTCTTTCATTGCAGATAGGACAATAAATTTTCATTGTAATACAAAAGTTTCCTATCACAAAGTGAAATAGGTCTGAATCAATTATCCTGATGATTTGTGCCAAAATTCCTTCCTATTTTGTTTTGTTGGGGGGCAGTTGGGTCAGAGAAGACAATCACGTTTAGTCAGAAGTTTTTAATTTGGCTTTCCATGTTTATCAAATATAGAAACTCTCATATTTATTTTTATTATACATATATTTTATTTAAAAAAAAAACCTACTTTGTCGGTAAAAATTTTTACCATTATTTATAGCTCTATGTGTCAACTACGTGATAAAAGAATATACATAGTTACTTCCTGAATCTAGGTAACACTTTAAAAATAGTTTTCTAAATTAATATTCCAGAAAGCTGAGATAACAATATCTTTTTCGTGCATGTTGAAAGGGATGTTACTGTTCATGACACACATTCATAATTCATAAGTATGTAGATAACATAGTATTCAGAAGCAAAGACAAGTAAGAGATTCTTAAAACTAGTAACACAGAGCAACATATCAACTATGGGTTCACGTTCACATTTAGATGAAATAGTAAGAATAGGGGTAAATTCTGGACCCAGAATGATGTTGTAGAAAGCATACAGGTTTTCCTGACTAATGGACCTAAGTTTGAGCCTTACAATAATATAATACAACTGGTACTATTATTATTATTATTATTTGTTTGCTAACTGACTTGACCACAGATCTTTTGGGAAGAATCTCCTAGGACTAGAAGTTCATGAACACTTTTTACAAAGAATTGATCAAAGGCTGTAGTTCTCAGCTGAGTGCAACCCCCACACCCCACTCCAGGAGACATTTGGCAATGCCTGGAAGCATATTGGGTTGTCACAAATGGGGAGAAGGAGAGTGCTACCAGCATCTAGTACGTAGAGGCCCAGATTCTGCTAAACATCCTGCAGTGCTCAGGGTAGCCCCCCACAGCAGAAGAATTACCTGCCAAAATGTCAATAGTATTGAGATTGAGAAACTCTAAACTAAGAAATCAAGCTATATCTTTTCTTCTTATATGTAATAATTAGTAAGCCATGAAGGCACACTTTATAGCACTGAGTAGAAGTTCTTAGAAATGTTAAAAAATAAGTTTTGGAGTAAATTACCATGCTTCTGGTGTGCATTTGATGAGGACTTACTCTAGGCCAAGTGTAATGCTAAGCATTATAAATCTATGAGCTCATTCCATTCTCACAACTTATGATTCAGGCATTCTACATACAAAACGATAGCCACGGAGATGTTGACATGCCTATGGTCACACAGCTAGTTAGTGGCAGATTTAATGCAGAGATTCACACCCAACTGCCTCCAATATCTCTCCTCTTTCAACCACATCAGGCTTTCTTATAAGACAGCATCCAACCTCTACTATTTTGGCAGCAGTGTGTGGAAAAAACCTTGTAGATGTCACAAGTTTTTATTTATATTTTGAATAAAGGTATTTAGCTTTTATATGACACCTACCATTATACAAATGGTGGGGTAAGTGTACAATACAACAATTCTGAAAATGACAAATTCATCACTCCAAATGAAAGTGAAATAGTATTTGAATCTTCCATTATGATTATAACATACTAGGATTAGGTGAAATAAATCCAATATTATTGCCAGTCTCTTTTTTTTTCCAATAAAATAATACATTCTGGATAATTGATTTTCAAAAGTGGGCTGAAGGGGACATGGTTTGGCTACATAGTCAAGTCAAAGCGTGGAGATATTGATTCTATTAGCTGTGTCACCTTATGAAAACGTCTTAGCCTCACGTTTCCTAAGGGACATGATGCACTCGTATTTTTGCCTAGCTTACTTTTTAAGGACAATTGTAAAAGTATTTGTAAAATTTTGAGGAAATTTGTTACAGAAAGCTAAAGTATCTTACCAGACACCCTGAGACAGTTCTTAAAGGAAAACCTGAAAATGGTTGTATAAGCTTCAGCAAGGGACAGAGAGGCTTATAGACTCCAGAATCGTTTGGGTCCCCGCATTTCTGGCAAACTTTAGCTACAGCATTTCTAAGCATGTTCTACTCATTAAGATGGGTGTACTTCCTAGTGAAGGTCAAATAATTAATAGAAACTGTTGTACAGAGTTTTTTACCTTACATTTTAGTGTCAGTAGTTTCCTAACCTTGAATAATTCTCACAGATTCAATAGCATTTTGCATATTTAAAATGTATTTCAAGCTATTGAAAATGTACAAATGTAGATCAACTCAGTAAGTTTTGGTGAGTTGGTTCAGAAGTTTCATTTATTCATTTTTCTCGCCAACATTTTAGTTAGGGTGTTAGGCACCTGTGCCAACATATGAAAGAAAAAAAATTAATGGCGACTTCTAAAACTTTTAATTAACATTAATGTTCATTATAGAAGGGCTGTTTTCAAAGTGTTTTAATGAATTGTTCAGATTTTACTTCCTTTAAATTCAAAAGCAAATAGACTACTTTTTCTGGGTGGACAATTTGTCACTAAGACAATAACAAATACAAATGAAGTAAAAGCTTTACTTGAACTTCGATTTATTTACCAAATTTACAGGAGAATTCCCATTTTGATAAAGTTTAAGACAAAAGCTAAAATTCTAGTGAAAGAGGATTTTTGTTTTTGAGCTTTGATTTCTACATGCATATACAGGCTATATAGAAAATATCACAATATAAACTTTACACTGAGTCATTGTTCTTGATCTTGAAAACCCTGATTGGTACAGAAAGGTAGGTAAGGGATGACAAATATATATCATGAGTTACTTGATCCAGGACAAGAAACTTTTCTATGTGACTTTTCTACGGATCCCTTTTCTATGTGACTTTAAGCGTCCTACTATCTATGCAATCTTACTTTTCTACTATGTAAGACCCTATCTTCAAGAGGCAGTCAAAGAAGATAAAGTATGTGGCCTCCTAAGCCATAACCCATTATTCTTAGTCTAATATTCTTATTCTAATATTATTTTTATTATAATGGCTACTATATATCTGTTATTACATTTACATGCATGCCAAAGATGCAATTGGAATGATGCCTTCAGAATTTAGCTGCTTGGCCAGCGAACGAGAAAAATCCTTTAGTTCAAAACTAGATTTTGATTGTTATGTCTTCTGCTCTTATAGTTGTATCACCTTTCATACTTTGATGTTACTTGAAAATCGCTGTGTGAGGCAGACACTAGGTAGGCTCACCGAAGCCAGCCTGCTCCTCCCAGCACTGCCTGGCCATATGACCCTGTTCTGTCCCATGAGAATTCAGCTGGAAGTAGCTGAGAGGCTTCTGGGAAAGTGTTGCTCTCTTGGCACAAGCTGTGTTCTTTTCCTCCCTCTATTTCTTGTCCTGAGTGTTGACATAATCAGCTGGAGTAGCAACCTTTAACTACAAGAGAAAGGCCAAGGCCGTGGACGGATATTAGCTCTGATCTCATGGAGCTCCTGAATCCCCACAAGCAGCTGCCTTCCTCTCCACTTGTAACAAAGATAAATGGTCCTATTTGTTCGCTATTGTCAACCAAGAGACTTCCTCATTAAATGTTACACAGAACTATGCTATCTTTACAGTCTGTTTTCTCCTAGCCCCATCAAATTCTAAAAGATATACTGTAATTTGTTCATTAGAAATTAGTTCAAATTTGTTAATATGAGGGCTTAGAAACTGAAAGAGAATAGACTAACACTGTAGTTTAAAAAAAGGAGGGGCAGAAACTAACTCTTTGAAAAACACTGGTAAGAAAAGGAAAAGACAAGTTGACTGGGAGAAAATGTTTGCAAAACACATATCTGTTAAAGGCCTCATATCCAGCATATATGAAGAACTCTCTAAAGTCAATAATAAGAAAACAGTGCAATTAAAAATGGGGTGAAGTGTTTATTTGAATAAATATGGGAGCAAAAAAGATATATGGATGACAAATATGAAAAGATACTCAACATCATTAGTCACTAGAAAAATTAAAATTAAAACCATACTTAGGTACATCTACACACTCTTCAGAATGTCTAAATTAAAAAAAATACTGACAATACCTAGTATGGGTAAGAATGTTGAAGAACTAGAACTCTCATACATTACTGGCTGGAATGGAAAATGCCACAGCCACTTGAGAAGACAAAATAACAGTGTTCCATAAAATTAAACCTAAACTTACTATAATATTCACTCATCTACTTCTAGCTATTTATCCAAGATAAATACAAATATATAGTCATACAAAACTGGGATGCAAACGCTTATAGCAGCTTTCTAAAATAAAAGCCACAAACTGGGAACCGCTCAAGTAGCCTGTAACCGTGAATGATCAAATCGATGTGCATCCATACAATGAACTACTGCTAGGCAATAAAAAGGAAACTACTCATTTATGAAACAATGTGGGTGAATTTGAAATGTATGTTCCTAAGTGCAAAAGGCCACACTCTATAATGATTTCATTTACATGACATAATAGGGATAGCAAACAGATCAAAGATTGCCAGAAGCTGGGGGTAGGGGTGAGTTGCCACCAGGATTGGGGGAATTTTGGGGGGGTGTTGGAACTATTGTATATTTTGATAATGGTGATGGTTACATGACTGTATGTGAACTGTGAAACTCAGAACTATACACTGGAAATTGGAAATATTACTCTATGTAAATTATACTTCAATAATCCCAACTTTTCAAAAAGCAGAAAATATTTTGAAGAATAAAGATATTCATAAACGTAATTGTGATTTTGGAAATTAAAAATAAGGATTTGGAAACATAGAGATCTACATATATTTAAGAAAGTGTTTAATGTAATAAAAGAAGATGACATATTAGCCCCGGTTCCTCGAAGTTTATACATGTGCAAAGCAATAAACATACTTTATGGATGGTAACATCTCTTTCAAACATAGGCGCTCCAGATATTGTGTAGTGTCTCATGAT